AAGAGGGATCGTGGCAATGGAAAGAGAGTGGATACCGAGTATGTGGCTGTGCCTAAGCGTCCACGGGTAGACCCAGAGGAGACTTATGCTTTCCATGGTGGAGTAGGGAAACAGCTGTTTACTTATGGCGTGAACCGCGATGGTAAGGAGTCGTACTGGGATGTGTCGGACTACGATTTGCCGATGTTGAGTACCGAGGGATTCGTTCGGGAGTATGACCGTGGTCAGATGTCTGGTAAGGGTCCTTCTCACATGCTAGAGTTAGCTGGTGGGGACATATGTCGGGTGACTACTTGTCTACTCAAAACAATTTTTTTTTTGTTTTTTTTTTTTTTTTTTGACTTGTGAAAAATAATTTTTTTTTTATATATAGTTGGTAGCGACTTGGAGATATCTCATGGAGCATGGTAGGAATGTGGAAGCTAGGAAGGAAGAGGAGCGGGCTCGAAGTCAAGCGCGTGAGGATGAACTTGTAAGCCAATTGGAGGTAGCGCGGTTCGATCTTGCTCAACGCTCGGAAGAGCTTGCTCGGAGGATAGAGGAGCTTGCTGAGAGGACAGATGAGCTCGAGGTTATCCGAGGTGAGGCGAAGGCATATAAGGATGATGTTCATAAGTTGAACGAATGCTACGACCAGCTGAAAGAAATATATGAAGCTGAGAAGGCGACGGGGAAGAGGTTCCTCACGACATCAGGTGGTGCAGCTTATACGGAGTCCATTTTGGAGGAGACTAAGGCTAGTTTCCAAGGTAGTGATGAGTGTGCTGCTATGATCGAGGAGCATGCATTGGCGGTGGTTTATAAGCCATTAGTGCGTGCTTGTCGCAAATATCTGCGCGATGCTGGTGGGATCAGCGAGGAAGTGATTCGTGGGATGGAAGGTGGCATATCCGATGAAGAGGAGGATGAGGTAGATGTTAATGGGACGGGCACAGAGCTCGTGAATGACATGGTTGCGGATGACTCCACTGTGGGTACGTCTTCCGCTCGCGGTAGGGGGCTTAGACTTATTTGCTAGGATAGTTATCCTTCCCCCCCTTTTTTTTTATTACTATTATATTTTTTTATGGATTTCGTAGTTTATTTTTATCGCTGATGTAGATGGGTATGTCCACTACTATTTCGTTTGAGTTGCTTCCTTGTTTGACTTTGAAGTTTAATATTTCGATTTATTTATTTTGACATTGTCAAGAATTAATGCGTTGCTTATATGTATTTACATTAGCGTATACGCGATGTACTTGAGGAGGGGATCAGCCTCCCAAGGTTTTTGTTAAGGGTCGTGCCCCTTGTTTGGACCGCTTGGGTCTTAAATATATTTGTTCGTGGCCACGTTTTAAAAGTAACACCTCGTGAAACAAATAAAGGGACTCAGATAATCCAGCTGGCCAGGCTATATGGATTATCTAAATCTCTCTAAGTGTTTATAGGGTGGTATTGAATTAGACTCATGATGAGAGGTAATTTGTGTCGATATGAAGGCACAGAGAGTAAAACGAAAATTGTGATTTATTCAACGATAGCATAGGAGAATTAGCCTATGTGAGGCGAATTTAATAAATAGCTAATGCGATGGGCCTACATGAGGCGAAGGTAACTTACTACTGCTAAAGCAATAAATTGTCTTGATAAAAAAAAATCTTCTGATTGATTGTACTACACTTGTTCTTCTTCCACGTCTTCCTTGTACTCGTTCGTTCCGCTGATGGTAGGCTGAATTCCTTTGGCGTCTCTATGCCTGTCAGGTATAATTGAGGAAAAATGAATTTTGTTTAAGCATTTGTATTAAAGACTTAGTAATTGAAGCTGAGATGATGTGCATTGCAAATTCACGTACCCTAACACGGGGATGATTTTTCTTCATCGCACTTCGAGTTATGAAATCAACATGTGAGTTGCTATGATTTGCTGTGTGATCGTGCTTGTTAGATGGAATGATTTTGTCACGTTAGTAAGAGTAAACAAGAGCATGCGTGTGTTGTAGTCTAGTGGAAGTATTGTTACCCTTGACGATGTGGTATGGTGTGGTTTCGCTCTTTGGGCCATTGATTGCACAATATGCATCCACTCGTAGCAGGTTCGTAACCTGTAAGGAGAGGATGGGATGTGATTATAAGTTTGTGATGTAAGTAAAATTTACTAGCCCCCCAGTTTAGGTGGGACGTTCACGCACCTCGTTATGTGGTAGAAAGTTTCCAAAGCATGTAGAGACGGTTTTGGGAGACGAGTGACGTGGAAGACCGCGGAGTCTGCACGGGTAATGTTTTGTAAGTAATTTTCATATAGGGGGGTATAAGTGGTGACTTCGCCAGATCTTAATTTAGGTGGATATATACCTTAAGCGTAGAACTTTTGTGATTTTATATGGTCCTTCCCACTTTGGGTCGAACTTGCCAATGGGGTGAGAGGCTTCAGCTTTCCGGAGGACTAAATCCCCCACTTGAAAGGAGCGAGGACGGACCTTTGAGTTATATGCCTTGGCCATGCGTGATTTGTACATCTGTTGCCGGATGTATGCAATCTCTCGTAGCTCATCTACAAGGTCTAGGCTTCCTCGCATAGCTTCTTCATTAGCTACTGGATCATAATTGGTGATTCTCCAAGATGGTTCACCTATTTCCACGGGTGCGATAGCCTCTGTGCCGAAAGCTAGATTGAAGGGTGACTCTCCGGTTGCTGCACGGGGGGTTGTGCGATAAGCCCATAGTGCGTTAGGCAATTCTTCTACCCACTTCCCTTTGGCACCTCCAAGGCTTGTTTTAAGGTGTTGGAGTATGGTGCGATTTGTAACCTCTGTCTGGCCGTTAGCTTGCGGATTTGCTACGGATGTGAAGAATTGTTTGATGTCCAAGCCGAGGCACCAATTTTTTACTTTGTCACCGCAAAATTGGGTTCCATTATCCGAGATGATGGAACGTGGGATTCCGAAGCGGCACACGATGTTTTTCCATAGGAATTGGATGACTTCTTCTTCTCGGATGCGTGCTAAGGGTTCAGCTTCCACCCATTTGGTGAAGTAGTCCACCGCTACAATGAGGTATTTACGTCCTCCTGTGGCGGGCGGGAATGGTCCAACTAAATCCATTCCCCATTGAGCGAAGGGGATGGGGCTGTCAATTGGTTGCATTAATGCTGCTGGCAGGTGAGGAATATTTGCATGCTCTTGGCAAGGCTTACATTTCCGGACTAACTTCTTCGCGTCTTCATGCATTGATGGCGAATAGTATCCTTGCCTTAGTAGTTTGAGAGCTAAGGTCCTCCCGCTCAAGTGATTGCCACAGATGCCTTCGTGTACTTCTCTAAGTACGTAATCCGCTGTGGTCGGGTCGAGGCACTTGAGATAGGGGAATGAGAACCCTCGTTTGTATAATTATTCTCCCACTATGACGAAGCTAGCGACTCTCGTCTTTAATTTTCGTGCTTCGGTGGGATCCGTTGGAAGTTCTCCCTTCTTGAGATACTTCAGGATTGGAGTGAACCAGCATGGTTCATCCTCCACGGTATACTGTACTTCAGTGGGTGAAGTTATCTCTGGCTGAGGTGAGGTGAGGAGCGTCACTTTCCGACTTCCGATGCTAGCCATGGAGCTTCCAAGTCTAGCTAATTTGTCCGCATGGACGTTATCGGAGCGAGGTACTTGTCTTATCTCGTAGCTCTCGAATTTAGATAAGAGAGTGTGCGCGAGAGCTAAATATTTCGCCATGGTGTCTTCTTTAGCCTCGTAAGTTCCGAGTATTTGTTTGACGACGAGCTGAGAGTCGCTTTGGATTAGGAGCTTGCGCGCTCCGGCTGCTAGGGCGAGGCGGATTCCCGCTATTAGTGCTTCGTATTCAGCTACGTTGTTTGAGGCTGTGAATTCGAATCGTTGAGCATATTCGAATTCGTCTCCTTCGGGGTTTGTTAGGACGATACCCGCTCCACCTCCTGTGGTAGTGGAAGATCCATCGACGCTGACGGACCAAGTTGGTAGAGATGTGTTTTCTTCTACTGAGGTCATTTCGACTAGAAAGTCGGCCAATATTTGCGCTTTGATAGCTGGGCGGGGTTTAAATTCCACTCCATATTCGCTTAGCTCTATTGCCCATTTTGCTAATCGCCCGGATGTCTCGGGACTTCTCAGTATCTGCTTCAGAGGATAATTGGTGAGAACCACCACTTGATGCGACTGGAAGTAGGGTCGAAGCTTTCGAGCTGCGTTAATGAGAGCGAGAGCGAGCTTCTCCATATTGGTATAGCGTTGTTCGGCTCCTTGGAGGGCGCGACTTATGTAGTATATGGGTTGATGACCTTTTCCTCCATCTCAGATGAGGACTGCGCTGATGGCATCAGCCGAGGTAGCTAAGTACAGCATGAGGGTGTCTCCCGGCTGAGGTTTTGTAAGCAAGGGTGGTGATGCGAGATATGATTTTAGCTCAGTAAAGGATTTTTGACATGCCTCATCCCACTCGAACTTTTTTACTCCCCTTAAAATCTTGAAAAAGGGGAGAGCCTTGTCTGCTGATCTTGAAATGAATCTGTTTAGGGATGCCAAACAGCCGTTGAGCTGTTGAACTTTCTTGATCGATGTTGGCGGAGCCATGGAGGTGATCTCGATTTTCGCGGGGTTAGCTTCGATTCCTCGCTGCGAAATCATATAACCCAAGAATTTGCCTCCTCGAACTCCGAATGAACATTTGAGGGGGTTGAGCTTCATCTTATATTTTCGCAGGGTGGCGAAACACTGATCCAGATCAGTTAGGTGGTCTGGGACCTTGACACTTTTGACGAGCATGTTGTCGATGTACACCTCCATATTTTTACCGATTTGATCTGCGAACATTTTGTTCACTAGACGTTGGTAGGTGGCTCCTGCGTTTTTTAAACCGAATGGCATGACTTGATAGCAGTAGATGCCTTGGTCAGTGATGAAACTAGCCCTCTCTTGATCCTCTGGCGCAAGTAAGATCTGGTTATACCCTCGGTATGCATCGAGGAAGCTGAGGAGTTCGCACCCCGAGGTTGAATCGATGAGCTGATCGATTCTGGGTAGAGGAAATGGGTCCTTGGGACAAGCTTTGTTGAGGTCAGTGAAATCCACGCATAACCTCCACTTTCCCCCGGGTTTGGGAACGAGTACTACGTTCGACAACCATTCAGGATACTGAACTGGTCGTATGTGACCTGCTTCAAGGAGTTTTGCCACTTCCGTTTTGATATTCTTGTTGCGTTCGGGACCAAATGTCCGTTTTCTCTGTTTGACCGGCTTCAACCGCTTGTCGACGTTGAGCCGATGTAGAGCTACCTGAGGAGGAATGCCCGACAAATCTTGGGCTTTCCATGCGAACACATCTCCATTGTGTCGTAGGAAGTTGATTAGCTACTGCTCCGTTGTTGGATCTAAATCAGATCCTATTCGTATGAGCTTGGAGGTATCTCCGGGAGTGAGCTCTATGAGCTTAAGTTCTTCGACAGCTGCTAGCTTGATGCTGTCATCTGGCACACTGATGAGGATTTCTTTATTATCCTCAATGATCGCGTTGACCCACTTCCGTTTGTCGGATTTTTGGGTGTCGTCTCTCCTTCCGGGTGGTTTAAGCTTCTTGGAAGGTTCTCGTAGGGCCCTTGCATAGCACTCTCGAGCGAGACGTCTATCTCCAAGTACTTCCCCCATTCCATAGGGAGTAGGGAACTTCCACTTCTGATGATAGGAGGAAGGCACTGACTTGAATGTGTGGATTGCTGGCCTCCCCAGAATGATGTTGTAGGGTGATGGCCTGTCGACGACGAGGAACTTGATTAGTTTTGTGATTCGACAGGGGTCTTCCCCTAAAGAAACTGGCAGCTCCACTTCTCCCATGGATAAAATGCCTTCTCCTGTGAATCCTTTCAGGGGTGTGGAGACGGGATTACACCGGGCATTATCTATGCCTAGCTGCTTAAAAGCGTGGAGGTACATGATGTCAGCTGAGCTTCCACCGTCCACTAATATCTTCTTGACCAAGAAGTTGGCCACCGTTGTTGTTACTACTAGGGCTGTGCGTTGGTTGGTTTGGTTAAAAACCAGTCACAAAACCAACCCAACCCATCCAACCAACTTTGGTAAATATTGGAAACCGTTATCGACCCAACTTACATGGGTTGGGTGATGGTTGAAAACCAATTTAATGGGTTGGTTGGTGGTTTGGTTGATGGGTTATCCATCTAAATATTTTTTAATTTTTTTTTAATATTTTATTACTTGTTACAACGCTGTATCTTTTATAAATTAAATGCCACTAGTTCAATAATATTCAAATAAAAGATTCAAAACATTACGGGCATACATATTGCAATTAAACATAAATAGTTCAACAAATAAGAATCGTCCAAATATTTAGACTGTATGTCTTAAAATTAAAATAGTTGAAATTAGATAATTAGGTTAGATTTATTGATTTTAGGATTTTGGTCAATATTAAACAATTTAATAAATGTGATATAAAATAGAAATTTGAAATAAAAAATGTAAAATAGTTTAATTAAAATTAATAAATAATAAATTAATGAATAAAGTTGGTTGGCCGATATTAACCGACTAACCAACTTTTTAGCATATTAGAAACCATTATCGACCCAACTAGACATGGGTTGGTTGACATTATCCACCCAACTTAAATGGGTCGGTTGATGGTTGATTAACCATCACAAATTGTGGGTCGAAAATGGGTTGGTTGGTGGTTAAAACCGATCCATGCACAGCCCTAGTTACTACCAATGCATCGACATGGTCTTCATCTGGACCTTCGAGGTCGGAGGAGTTGAAGATTATGCTGTGATCAGGTCTTCGTATTTGATATATGCGTGCGGATGGAGAAACACGTTCTTGATTCATGCGTGCTGATCGAGCGAGGGTGCGTCTTGCATTTTGTGAATCGCCACCCGCCGGTCCTCCGGAGATAAAGGAGATGATTCCTCGGGTAGGCTGGTTATCGTTGTTATCTAGGTCACGTCGATGACCTCCATCCTCTCGCCTTTGCTGTTGATCTCGATTGTTATCTCGGCGTGGAGGATCATCACGGCGCTTATTTTGCGGCTTATCAATGTATTCGCCTAAATGGCCCTGTTTGATCAGCCTCTCAATCGCCACTTTGAGTTGTGCACATTCCTCCGTAGTATGCCCTCTGTCCTTATGGAATCGACAATAACGATCCGATTTTTCTCGCTTTGCGTTTGGCTGCATAGGACGTGGAGGTTCTGCTAAACCTTTCTGTTCAATCACGTGAAGGATTTCTGTGAGGCGAGCATCTAGCGGAGTGAATCTATTGTAGGAGGAAGAGGGTTGGCCTTGAGGTGGAAGTGGTGGACGTCGATCATCACGCCTCCTATTGTCCTGACGGTCATCTTCCCTTTTTCTTTTAGGAGGAGCATGGGTAGAGGCTTCCTCTATCCGGACGTATTTTTTGGCTCGATTCAGCAACTCTTCTAAGTTGTCTGGGGGTCTTCCGGTGATAGATTCTTTGAATCTACCAGGTTTCAAGTTCTGCTGCATAATCCCGTAGAGCATGTCTTGCCACACTGGGGACTTCGTGGACGGCCTCTACGAAACGCTTAATGTAGTTGCGGAGCGTTTCGTTATCTCTCTGTACTACAGAGAAAAGATGAGCTGGGGTCTTGGCATATTGTTTGTTGATGGCGAATTGATTGGTGAACCGGGTCGACAACCGAGCGAAGGTGTCAATCGACCCTATGGGTAGGGAGTTGAACCAATTCATTGCCCTCTTGGAGAGAGTGGTGCGGAACATTTTGCACATCGCAGCATCCGTCGGGCCATATAAATCTGCCATGGCACTGAATTTCTCTATATGTTCATGTGGGTCGGTGGTCCCTTCAAATTGTGGTAACCCCGAGATCTTTACTCCTTGAGGTAATACCTCGTTGAGAATGTCTATGGTGAAGTGACTGCGTCTTGTTGGGGGAGGCATTCTTTAACCCATTTGATTATTTGGTTGGGAGAAAAGGTTTTGGCGAGACATTCTGCTGTTTACCTCGCCTTCTCCCTCATTAAAGAGAGGGATTCTCGGTGGTGACGCATTCCCCCGTGGGGGTGAGCGCGGACGCTGCTGTCTGGGCTGTGCCCCTCTGTGGTTAGTAGATAGCTGCACTCGGGACTGTGGATCCGAGGTAGAGGAGGAGACATTTGATTCTGGATTGGCGGTGGGACCACAGGTGGCACTATAGGTGGAGCTTGCGCTGGTATCGCATTGGGAGCGTTTGCTCCCATCGTAGCGATATATTGAGTTACGGCCTCCGTGGCGGCGCGAGTTGAGGCTTCTGCTATCATGCGTTGGAGCGCGTCCTCGGTTATTTGAACCGTTCGAGGAGCAGGGAGTGGTGGATCGGCGAGCGGTGGGTCCCGAGGAGGGATCACCTGAACCTCGCGAGGTGGATCTACAGCACGTGGAGGAAGTTGCTCCGCGGCACGTGGAGGAGGTGGTATGCCAGATCCTCCACGGACTGGGAGGTTATTAGCTGTGTCATTTTCTCTCCGAGCTGACGCCTCAGGAGGATCTTGTTGGCTACGTGATCTGGTTTGCATCGTTCCCACAGACGGCGCCAAAATGATGAAGTTAAAATATAGCTCACCTAGGGTGGTGTAGAAAAAGGACTGGGAGAGCAAAGTTGATCAGTAGCTTAACAACTTGATGATCCTGAGGTCTCTGCGAAAAGAGCACACGTGAACTAAGCCGGGGGTTGATCCGGCGGAAACCCCTCCGACGCTCAAGTCAGATGTACGGATCGTAGAGAGAATAGAGAGAATAAAACTTGAGGTGGATTTTCAATAATCAGAACGTACCTTAACAAATGAGTAAAATATCTATTTATATATCGTTGAATGGGTTGGGCTTATTTTGCTGGGCCCAAGCCTTACTTTGAAGGAGCTTGGGCTTTCGTGTAATAGGCCCACTTGTATGTGATTGGGCTTTCGTGTATTAGGCCTAATTATTAGATAAATTTGAAGGCCCATTGGGCCGGCCCATATAGGTATATCAAAAACGTTTCAGAGAGCACAGTATATGAAAATCAGAAGCCAAACTCAAAATTGTTACAATTACAATTACAATTAATATATTCGTCGTCGTCTGCGTGCGATATATAGGTGGAAAAGTAGGCATTCCCTACCATATATTACTGATCATTTTTAAATGAAAAAAAAAATTGAACTTAATTTATATCATTTTCAGAATAATTGAGTGACGACCAAAATATATCTCATGGTCTACAATAGTCTGCTGAAGAAACATGATTGATTATTGATTGTTAGATGCGCTTCTCCTTTTATATTTCAGCTATAAATACATACCCCGTTTTCTTTTGCTGCATATCACAATTACCTCTATTAATAAATTCAAAAAACATATATATAGTATACTTTGTTAACATGAAAATTGATACAATCTCCTGGTAAAAGAAGCAATATATTGCTGTAGATGAAACTTCAAGTTCCGTTTTTCATCCAAAATAACCCACTCCTACAATTGTTCCCCATTAATACATTAACTTCTCTACAATAACTACCCATAATCTAATAATAACTACTAAACAAAATATAAGTAAATAAATAATAATACTTAATTCAACTTCTCTCGTGCCTATCATTCTAGCCATCTGTTAAATAGCGTGGATTGGGTTTTGGCTTGCGAGAGCTACGCCGAATCGTATTACGTATATATAAATGGTTGTATAATGGCCTTCAATTAATAGGATTGCTTTCAAAATATGTGCCGTATTAAGTAATAACTAATGTTTTCTTTTGTAATGAGTATTGCGTACGCTACTATATATCTATAGATCTCCAGTTTGTTGTATTATAAGTTTTATTTCAAAGATCCATATATGATTATTAGGTTTCCCTAATATTAAACGGCACTTATAATATAAATTGAAAATAAAGGGAATATAATGTTAATGGACTAGCTTTGTTTGATGGGATTTTTATGCAAAAGTCCCCAACCAAGCATGTTTATTATTCTAGGTTTAGGGGACATATCTCTTTCACCAATAAGCCCATCCCATTAATATTTATTATAACTAAAGGAAACATTCATGTATATCCCAATATTACCCTCAACCATTTATACCCAATTCTTAATTGTAATCCAAATTAATCAATTTTGTCCATAAAAGTTCAATTTTGACCACAAAAATTCAATTTTGACTTTTTTTTGGAGTATAATTTAATATGCTCCAATTTCATCCTTAACTTAATTTAATCTCAATTTGACCCCAAATTTCACAAATTATTAAATTTTGACCGAAAACTTTTTTTTTTCAAAAACTTTTTTTTTTGCCGCCGTTGAATTTTTTTTTTTTTTTTTTGCTTTTTTCTTTTTTTTTTTCTTTTCTTTTCTTCCGGATTTTTTCGCCGGTTTCCGGCGGTCTCTTTTTTTAGTGTTTTTTTAAGTTTTTTTTTTTGTTTGGTTTGTTTTGTTTTTCCACGTCCGCCGCTAAACGTTGACCGTAATTGTGCTGTCACTGACAGTAAATTAACGTAATTATACTGTCAATGATAGCTAATTAACGTAATTGTACTGCCGTTGACATTACATTTATGTAATTGTGCTGTCGTTGACAGTAAATTAATGCAATATTATATTTTTTTATTTATTATTATTTTTTTTATTTTTTTTGATTTGTTGACAAGTCAACGTAATTATATTACTGTCGTTGACAGTAAAATAACTGTAAACACAATAATATTACTGTCAACAACATCAATATTATTATTTTTTTGGGGAGTTTGTATTTTTTTATTTATT